AGCGGGCTGACTAGTAGAGGCTTCTATCATCCATAAGAGGCATCAGAGGGGCAGAGGACGCCATCTGCTGCAGCAGCAGAAGTTCCTGCTGCTGCTGCTGCTGCTGCTGTCTTGCTGCTGCTGCTGCTGCTGCTGCTGACTCTGCAGCAGATAGATCTTCCTGCTGCTGCTGCTGCTGCTGCTGCTACTTGAATCGCATGTTTCTTTTCGTTTGATAGTTTAATGCCGATGCTGCAACTTCTGCTGCTTCAGCAGCAGCAGCAGCAGCAGCTGCTGCTGCTGCTGCTGCTGCTGCTGCTCCTTTGACTGGCGCTGCAGCAGCTGCTGCTGCTCTGAGCTGCCTCAAGCAGCAGCAGCAGCAGCAGCAGCAGCAGCAGCAACCGCACAGGAGGAGATTTACTTTCGGTTGCTTCCTTACAAAATTCCAAAAAAGGTTTTTGCTTGTCTTTGGCTCACGACAGCAGCAGCAGCAGCAGCAGCAGCAGCTGCTGCTGCTGCTGCTGCTGCTGCTGCTGCTCCTACACTGCCGAACGCAGCCCCAGGGGGCCCCCGAGCAGCAGCAGCAGCAGCAGCTGCTGCTGCTGCTCGTGCTGCTGTTTGTTTAGTACTTCTTCTTTTTTTTTATGTTGTAGGGTATATTTAGTTTGTAATTTTTTCTGTCTGCTGCTGCTGCTGCTGCTGCTGCTGCTTCTGCTGCTGAGCAGCAGCAGCACGGACGCACAGCAGCAGCAACTGCTGCAGCAGCAAACAGCAGCAGCAAAGCAACCACAACAACGATAGCAGCAGCAGCAGCAAAAGTTGCTGCTGCAGCGTATGTAGGGACTCTCCGGCTTCAGCCTGTGTCTTCGTGTAGGCAGCAGCTGCACTGCTGCTGCTGCTGCTGCTGCTGCTGCAGCGGCTGCTGCTGCTGCTGCTGCTGCTGCTCTTCACGTCAGCAGCAAATGTTCGCACGAATATGAGGGGGGGTCATGGGGATGTATCGCCTACAGCAGCAGCAGCAGCAGATGCTGCTGCTGCTGCTGCTGCTGCTGCTGCTGCGCCAGCAGCTACTGCTGCTTCAGCACCGGCAGCACTAACAGCTGCGCCCGCTGCTGCAGCACCAGCAGCAGCTGCTGCAGCACCAGCAGCAGCTGCTGCAGCACCAGCAGCAGCTGCTGCAGCATCAGCAGCAGCAACGCCTGCAGCAGGTGCTGCTGAGTCCGAGGCTGAACTCTGCGGGGCAGCAGCAGCAGCACCAACAGCAGCACCAACAGCAGCAACGCATGCAGCAGCAGCAGCAGCAGCAAATAGTGAAGCAGCAGCAGTTACTGCAGCAGCAGCACCAGCAAACACCACAGCAGCAACAAAAGACACAACAGCAGCGGGAAGCCCTTCAGCAGCAGCACCAACAGCAGCAGCAGCAGCAGCAGCAGGAGACCCCGACAGACCCATCGCAGCAGAAACAGCAGCAGCAACAGCATCAGCAGCAGCAGCAGCAGAAGCCACAGAAGCAGCAGCAGAGCCAGCAGCAGCAACAGAAGCAGCAGCAGCAGCAGCAGCAGCAGCAGCAGCAGCAGCAGCAAAAAAGGTTTCTGTTGTTACACCTGAAGGGATCCACCGGCTGCTGAAGCGGCTACACCCCAACGCCTCTATCTCACCGCAGTGTCTAGATGTAAACCCTAAACCCTAAACCCTAAACCCTAAACCCTAAACCCTAGGTATTTGCTTAGTTGGTCAGGGTTTGAGCTGCAGAGACCGTCGAGGGTTTTATTACACTTCACCAGAAGAATATTTAGAGATGTCAAGGGTTTAGGGTTTAGGGTTTAGGGTTTTTCAGGGTTTAGGGTTTAGGGTTTAGGGTTTATGATTTGTTTCAAGGGTTTAGGGTTTAGGGTTTGACGTTTCTGGTGTGTTTATGTTGTGTGCATTCCTGTTACCTAGCGAGTATATTTAATAAGCGTTTAGGGTTTAGCGTTTTTGAGGGTTTAGGGTTTAGGGTTTAGGGTTTAGGGTTTGTTGCAGGCTCTGATAGAAATGAGCGAAGACTATG